GGTTCTCTTAGTTCAATAAGAAGTATCCGTAACTTTAAAATAAGACAAAAACATGGTTGGGAGTTCTTTAAAATTAATTGTGGAGCATCATCAAACAAGCCCTCTTATGGGTCATCTGAGGAGGCTCTAAGGCAATGTTTCTCAACGTGTTTTTGTTTTTGTTTTTTAATTTCCCCCCTAGGAGAAAATTTTAATTACATTCCATTTTAATTTTAATTAATTAACTTAAGCTAGTTATTTAATTAATAATCAGATGCAAGAAGGAGGCGATATGGGGATATATGTATAGCTGATTCACTTTGTTATAAAGCAGAAATTAACACACCATTGTAAAGCAATTATACTCCAATAGATGTTTATAAAAATTTTTTTTTTAAATTTAAAGTTCTGCTTTTCAAAAGACACTGTTAAGATAATGAAAAGAGAAGCCAAAGGCTATGAAAAAATATTTACAAGTCACATATCTAGAATTTACAAAGAACTCTCAAAAGTCAATAATAGGGAAATTAAAAAAACAATAAGAGGCTTCCCTGGTGGCGCAGTGGTTGAGAGTCCGCCTGCCGATGCAGGGGACACAGCTTCGTGCCCTGGTCCAGGAAGATCCCACATGCCGCGGAGCGGCTGGGCCCGTGAGCCATGGCGGCTGAGCCTGCGCTTCCGGAGCCTGTGCTCCGCAACGGGAGAGGCCACAACAGTGAGAGGCCCGCGTACCGCAAAAAAAAACCCCAATAAGAAACGCATAAAGATTTGAATAGACACTTCAGTAGAGAAGATATACAGATGGCAAATAAGCACATGAAAAGATGCTCACCGGGACTTCCCTGGCGGTCCAGTGGTTAAAACTTGGCGCTTCCACTGCAGGGGGCACAGGTTCCATCCCAGGTTGGGGAACTAAGATCCTGCATGCCATGTGGCAGCTGCACAGCCAAAAAGAAAGAAAAGAAAAGATGCTTACACTTACTGGTCTAAAGTAATGCGGATGAAAGCATGCAGTTATCTGAGTGTTCTGGTGAGGGGGAGGAACTCTCATACATCGCTGGTCAGAATGCAAAAAGATACAGACACTCTGGAAAGAGGTCTGTTCATCACACACTTACCCTATGACCCAGTGATTCCACCCCTCGGTATGTTCCCAAGAGAAATGAAGACCTAAGTCCACACAAAAGCTAGTTCATGAATGTTTGTGGTAGCTTATTCATAACCCACCAAACGGAACACAACTCGATGTCCATGGCTGGTGAATGAACAATCTGTGATAAATCTATAAAATGGAATACTTCTCAATAATAAAAAGAACTGAAGTACTCAGAGCAACAATAACAGGAATGAATTTCACAAGTGTTATGGTAAGTGAGAGAAGTCAAATTCTAAAGGCTACATATTTTATAATTCCATTTATATCACATTCTGGAAAAGGCAAGACTAAAAGAACAGAGAATAGATGAGTGTTTGCCAGGGGCTAAGGGTGGGGGTGGGGATGGATGACTACAGAGGACACAAGGGAACTTTTTGAGGGGATGTGAGATTTCTGTCTCTTGATGTGGTAATGATTACCTGAGAGTATATACATTTGTCAAAATTCATAGAATGGTACATCCAAAAAATGAACTTTACTGTATACAACTCATACCTTAAAATATTTTTTTAAATGTTAAATGTAAGGAAGGGTTTTGTGACAAATACTCTATTTTACTTTCATTCCTTCTCTATCAGATCCTCCCCAGGCAAGTCATGTTTGTCAGGTGCTGCCCAACAGCTCAGAAATCTGGACTAAATAGTGGGGTCTTTACTCACAGTGTGCTGGGGAACGTACAAGAAAATCTGGCTGTTTTAGGACAGCATATTCTTTGCTACGACAGAGTCAGCCGGGAGAAGTGCTAAGGTTGTGGAGGAAGAAGAATAAGAAAGCTCCCTACTAAGTCTTTACCAGAGCTGAGGCCAGTAGAACAATTAGAAGGGGAGGCAGAGGGCGCCCGGTGTAAGGAACAGCAGGAGTGAACTCAGAGGGCAGCAAAGAGCCCAGGGAAGCGGATCCTCTCCTCCTCCCTCTGCAGCTGCTGTTTTGGGGATCAAACAGCCAACGGGAGCTTAACTGACCAGCACTGAACCCTCCAAGAACAGAAGGAAGGCTGGTTCCCTGAACTGCTGCCCTCACAGCACAGACATTTAGAACATACTTGCTAAATTCTGCCTCAGAGTCAAATTCCAACTGACAAACATTGAAAACGCAGAGGACATGATTAAAATGGAAAATCATCTTAGGTAGACACCACAGTGATAATTGTTGACAGAATCTTCGACGGGTTCTGAAGTTAACAGATGAAAGTATGATGAACAACAAGAATATTTACATCGTGTCAAAGTATGTTCTTACAGCATTTTACCAAAGGGAAAATAGGAGGATCTACAATGAAGAAACTCTGTAGGTACGACCTTCATCAAGTAATCGAGTAAACTTCTGCCAGAGATAAGACAGGTCGACACCATGTTTCCTCAATACGATACACTGAAAGGGCAAAGTACACACAAGTATCACCACATTGGGGATTAAGATTTCAACATATGAATTTCGGGGGACACAAACATTCAGTCCATAACAAATGCACAGCCTAACTCTAATTCTGAGAGAAACACTGGAAAAACTCAAATTGAAGGATACTCCATGAAATAACTGATCAATATCCTTCAAAAGTTCCAAGACCATGAAAAAGGAAGAAAAACTGTCATAGATGGGAGAAGACTAAAGATACAGCAACTAATTGCAATGTGGGATTAGATTCTAGACCAGAAAAATGTCATTAATGGGAAAACTGGTAGCATTCAGATAAGGTCTGTAGGTTATATCAATGTTAATTTCTTGACTTTTATAACTGTAGCAGAACCCTGTAAGATGCCAACATTAGGGAAAGCTGGATGAAGGGCTTATGGGAACTCTCTGAATTATATTTGCAAGTTTTCTGTAAATCTGAAATTATTTTGTCAAAAACTTAAAAAAAAGAAAATGTTTTCTAAAAAGAAGCAGGATAACAATAGAACTTTTCACATCTGTGCACAAGGACATTCCTTCTATGTTAGTTATTTTTATTTATGTTTTTCCTTAGACTTAACAAAGCCCAGTTATGAGCTTCTGTAACTAGAGGCAACAAAATCATTTTGTAGGACAGAAACATGCTCTTACTTTGTCCTTTTGTCTTAAAACATGATAGGATCACATATTCAAAAGTCATCTAGGGGCTTCCCTGGTGGCGCAGTGGTTGAGAGTCCGCTTGCAGATGCAGGGGACATGGGTTCGTGCCCCGGTCCGGGAAGATCCCACATGCCGCGGAGAGGCTGGGCCCGTGAGCCATGGCCGTTGAGCCTGCGCGTCCAGAGCCTGTGCTCCGCAACAGGAGAGGCCACAACAGTGAGAGGCCCACGTACCGCAAAAAAAAAAAAAAAAAAAGTCATCTAGTCCATCCCAGTTCTCAGGGGTCTCAAACCTAAACTCCCTCAGATATGAGAAAACCTATGCTATGCACTACATTCCACATACAATCAACGTCATGAAATCCTCACAACTCTAAGTCCAGTCCCACATGCTGCAGAATAGAATATATCTGTGATTTGCTTGAAAGTCAGAGATTATCCCTCTCAGTCAAAGAGTTTTAAATGCAAATCAGGGAACTGGGGCTTAGAGTCAAGATTATGTACAGCAGCCAATAGGCTGATGCTGCTGTCACCACTGGCTACTCCCCAGGATCAAGTTTCCAGAATAATGTCAGGTTTTCTTTTGTGCATCTATGCTCTCGTTAGCTCTCTCAGACACTGTGGTTTTGCTTTCTGTCTGAAGAACTAAAGGACAAGCCGAAAGAACACATTTTTCTTGATAACCTTTAGTACGTGAAGCTAGAGTGGGTTTTAGGATCCAACTGCAATTGAAGTATGTAGAATGAATCCTTTCTAATGCCACCGGAGTATAAGGGACTGTTGGCATTTACTCAGACCAGCCTCCATTTGCCTTTCCTGACTGCCTCAGTTTCCTCAGGGTAATTAACTCTCCTCCACTCTGTGCAGTCTTAGTGGGACAGCAAACCCAAGTGCTTGCACACACACAGCAATAGTTGATGGTGACCTTGAGGGCTCCTGCTACATCCTTCCTTTTACTTTCTTGGTACATCCACAGGCATACTTTATGTCCTGATGTTGGCCAATTTATCCCTTCATTCTCAAACTTTGAAACTTGAGTTGAGTAATGCAAGTAGTAAAAATTGCTACAGTTCAATTCCTCCAATTTTTTTACCCCCGTGAGGCTGGGGAGGTGGTCCTGCTGAGGAAGCACTCTGAATTCCCTGGGTCTTACTTGTTTCAAACCCAGTTCTTCATCTTTCTTCATCCTACGAGCTGGACTACATCCTTCCAATAAATTCCCTGATACCAAACCAGACAAAAACACTACAAAAAAAAAAAGAAAATTATAGGCTAATATCTTTGATGAATACAAATGCAAAAATCCTCAACAAAATATTAGTAAACCAAATCCAAAAACACATAAAAAGGATCATACACCATGATCAAGTTGGATTCATCCCAGGGTCAAAAGGATGGTTCAACATACACAAGTCAATCAATGTGATATGCCACATCAACAAAAGAAAAGACAAAAACCACATGATCATCTCAGTAGAAGCGGAAAAAGCATTTGATAAAATTCAACATCCATTCATGATAAAAACTCTTACCAAAGTGGGTATAGAGGGAACATATCTCAGCATACTAGAAGCTACTTATGACAAACCCACAGCCAACAGTGCTCAATAATGCTCAACAGTGAAAAGCTGAAAGCCTTCCCACTAAATTCTGGAACAACACAAGGATGCCCATTCTCACCACTTCTACTCAACATAGTACTGGAAGTCCTAGCCACAGCAGTTGGAAAAGAAAAAGAAATAAAAAGTATCCAAGTTGGAAGTGAAGAGATAAATAGGTCACTATTTGCAGGTGACATGATACTCTATATAGAGAACCCTAAAGACTCCACACAAAAACTATTAGAACTAATAAATGAATTCAGCAAAGTAGCAGGATACAAGACTGACATACAGCAATCTGTTGCATTTCATTGCAATGAAATATCAGAAAGAGGAAGTAAAGAAGCGATCCCACTTAAAATTGCATCAGAAACATAAAATACCCAGGAATAAACCTAACCAAGGAGGTGAAAGACCTATATGCTGAAAACTATAAAGCACTGATAGAGGAAATTGAAGATGATTCCAAAAAATGGAAAGACATCCCATGCTCTTGGATTGGAAGAATTAATACTGTTAAAATGGCCATACTACCCAAAGCAATCTACAGATTTAATGTGATCTCTATCAAAATACCTTTGACATTTTTCACAGAACTAGAACAAACAGTACTAAAATTTAGATGGAACCACAAAAGACCAAGAATTGCCAAAGCAACCCTGAGGAAAAAGAACAAAGCTGGAGGCATAACCCTTTCAGACTTCAGACAATACCACAAAGCTACAGTAATCAAAAGGGCACAAAAACAGACATGTAGATCAATGGAACAGAATAGAGAGTCAAGAAATAAACCCACACACCTATGTCAATTATTCTACAACAAAAAAGTCAAGAATATACAATGGAGAAAAGACAGTCTCTTTAGCAAGGGTATTTGGAAAGCTGGACAGCTACATGTAAATCAATGAAATTGGAACACTCTCTCATACCATATACAAAAATAAACTCAAAATGGTTTAAAGACCTAAATATAAGACATGACACCACAAAATTCCTAGAAGAGAACATAGGCAAAACATTTTCAGACATAAATTGTAGTAATATTTTCTTAGATCAGTCTCCCAAGGCAAAAGAAGTAAAACCAAAAATAAACGTATGAGACCTAATCAAACTTAAAAGCTCTTGCACAGCAAAGGAAACCACAGACAAAATGAAAAGACAACCTACAGAATGGGAGAAAGTATTTGCAAACATGAAACTGACAAGAGATCAATATCTAAAATATGCGAATAGCTCATACAACTCAATATGCAAACAAACAACTCAGTCCAAAAATGGGCAGAAAACTTTCTTCAAAGATGACACATAGATTACCAACAGTCACATAAAAAGATGCTTGACACTGTTAATTATTACAGAAATGCAAATCAAAACTACAATTAGGTATCACCTCACACTGGTCAGAATGGTCATCATCAAACGTCTACAAATAATAAACACTGGAGAGGGTGTGGAGAAAAGAGGACTCTCCTACACTGTCGATGGAAATGTAAATTGGTGCAGCCACTATGGAGAACAGTATGGAGGTTGCTTAAAAAACTAAAAATAGAACTACCATATGATCCAGCAATCCCACTCCTCGGCACATATCCAGAAAAGATAAAAACTTCAATTTGAAAAGATACATGCACCCCAATGTTCATAGCAGCACTATTTACAATAGCCAAGACATGGAAACCCCCCAGGTGCCCATCAACACACAATTGGTTTAAGAAGATGTGATATAGACACTGAATGAAATGGTGCTCTCTCAGCCCATTTGAAAGTATTCTATTGTATTTTTACCAAGTCCAGTGCAAACTTTTTTAAACCAATCTTTTCCTTTTAAACCACATTAGTGAAATTTTACTGTTTATGTTTTCTCATGTTTGATTATAGAGTAGAAGGATTGGTGGAAGTAGACCGGAGAGGTAGGAAAAAAAATTGAGAAAACTGCCAAGAAGAGAAAGTTGTTTCTTTAATTGAACTTGGTATAGAGCAAAAGTAATTTAGCTCTGTGAAAAGGGCTTTTGCTTTCTCTGACCTGAATTTTATTTTAATAATCCAGGAGCAGTGCCACAGACACACGCTCATGACCAACCTTAATTTAAATTTGTTTCCACCAGGACAATATATGTGCTACCAGCAGGAATGCCGGTATGATGCGCTCAGGAATGAATAGGTTGGGGAGGGTACTCTGCTGTGATTCAAGAGATCATGACTTTTACAAGATTTTATAGAACTTCTGTGGTTAACTAAAATAAAACCAGATGCTTCCCTTTCCCATTTCAGGGTTGCCACCTCCCCAGGTATGACCAAGGTTGAAGTGACCTGACCTCAGTGTCCATCTCTTCCATAGGAATCCATATACGTAAGTGACTGCTGTCAACAATGGCTTTTTTTTTTTCTTTTCGGCGGTACGCGGGCCTCCCACCGCTATGGCCTCCCCCGTCGCGGAGCACAGGCTCCGGACGCGCAGGCCCAGCAGCCATGGCTCACGGGCCCAGCCGCTCCGTGGCATGTGGGATCCTCCCGGACCGGGGCACGAACCCGTGTCCCCTGCATCGGCAGGCGGACTCTCAACCACTGCGCCACCAGGGAAGACCAACAATGGCTTTTATAAGTAAGACTCACACATGCACAAAAAGCTAGCTAAGCATTTTTTAAAGGATTACGACCAAAGTCCTGTGATGTTTTTCCTTCTATATTTTGTATCATATGGAAAGAGGGGAGGGAAAGCTGTTACTCCATTGCCAGCCTCAGACCTGGGAGCCCATCATGGAGGTCTGGGGTTTCTTCCTGAATCCCACCAGGGCACGGAGCACCAGAGAGAGCATCGTGGACTGAGTTGACAGAAATGGGGAGGACTACGTGAAGGGCTAGGTGAGTGTAGTTTTGTGGGGGATATGGTAAAGAGCTCTCACCTTCCTCCTCTTGAGAGTGGCACGGGGACAACCATTTGAGAGAAGGTGTAAGAGTAGTAAATGCTTGGAACAACTGCTGTGTAAAATGGAATAAAGGAGGGGGCCGCTGAGACTGAGAAAATAATTGCTAAGCAGTGTGGTGGCCCTGGGGAGGCTGGGAGTCAGGCTGCCAGTCAGTCGGATAGGGGGACTCTCTTGCACCAAAATTTGGATGAGATTGAGCCCAGGTTAAGGGAGACAGGACAGGAGCAGAGAGTGTGATGAGGCAGCAAGAACGGCGGGAACTAGAGATCCTGGTTGTAGAGCCCTCCATCCTCTTTCCCGAGTGGCACTCTGAGAAGTCGGGGACGATTTTAGCATAGAAACTGTGTTACCCTTACTCATCCCCGAGGTGTGAAAGCTGAAGCCATAGCTGAGTCGTGCCATGAACAACAGCATCCCATGTTGGCCGAGCCTAGCCTTTCTGATTGGATGCACATAGGGGCCTCTCTGAGTTGGCACCTCTGCTGTGTTGCCTCACGCATATAATTCTGAGTCCAAAGTCTGTCTTTCTTGTTCAGTGACCACATTTTTACATACTTGATACATATATTTGAGGGCTTAAGGAATGAGGAAACTTGAGGTCAAAGAGGACCTGAATTATCAAGTAGAGATGGGCACCATCTGGCTCCCCGAGCCTCCACCAGTTGCAATAACTGCAAAATTAGAAAGTGATCTGATACAGCCTAGAGCAAGGTACTTTCCAAGCCTTAGTCTTCTTTCCTGTAGAATAAAAACTGCTATTAATAGTAATAACCTCCTCATGGGGGGTTATTCGATGGCATATAAAGCACTTTGAAAAACCTTTGGGCACTTAGGTGCTCAGTCATGGGTAGCTATAAATGAGGTAATGAGCACACACAGTGTAGTATATCCAGCTCTATCTCGCTTGTTAAGACTGTGTTGTCTTAGCCTGAATTCTCCAGAAAACAGTGGCTGAGCCAATAGCTTATCTGAACTCTTTTATTAGGGAGTACAATCCCAGGGAAGCAGAAGTGAGGGAACGGGAAGGGGTCAGGGAAGAGCAAATATGAGGGGTGCACCACAGAGATGGCCAATGTTTCATATTAAGACCAACTAATTGCATCACTTCGAGGGACCATCTTCTGAGAGGCCATAAGGGCTATTGCATCTTAAGACAGTCCGTGGGGAGGAGGTGAGGTGTGAAGCAAGAGGGAGGAAAATTTATCCACTAACTCTCAGTTCCCACTGATCGAAGGTTTATCCCCTGGGGCATTAATTCCTCTGCACTTTGGTATGTATGGCTATGAGTTCCAAGCAGGTCCCGATGTATCTTAAGTCTCAATGTCAACAGGGAAGCCCTGTGTTGAAGACAAGAGGCTCAAGCCGTGGGCTAGAGACAAGCTGCTGTCAGGTAATTCTTGCTCAGTATCACGTGAGGCCATGGCAATTATGAGAACCTGCGTGAAGTTTGTCTCCAAAGTGAAAGCTGGAGAGAAAAAATGGCCAAGCGTCTTGGAGACAGATGAGCCTGGGATGATCTGAAGTGGAACTAAAATTTCCTGACATACCTAGGTTTTGAAAAGCCCTTTTAAACATATTGAATTATACTTCTTCACTTAAACATTTCAAGAGAAAGAGCTAGAATTCCAACCTTCATGGATTCCTAATATTCAAGCTTCTGTTTACTTGGCAGTTCCCCTTAACCATATCAAATAGCTGTTGGTACAAAAATCAAGAGTTAAGTACTAGAAGGGTACTTAACAAATCAAACATTTTGTAAGAAAAAGCCTTTATTCTGGGCTTCCCTGGTGGTGCAGTGGTTGAGAGTCCGCCTGCCGATGCAGGGGACACGGGTTCGTGCCCCGGTCCGGGAAGATCCCACATGCTGCGGAGCGGCTGGGCCCGTGAGCCATGGCCGCTGAGCCTGCGCGTCCAGAGCCTGTGCTCCGCAACGGGAGAGGCCACAACAGTGAGAGGCCCGCGTACCGCAAAAAAAAAAAAAAAAAACCTTTATTCTGTGCCATAATTGCCCTTTAACCATTCTGTTTTGATATGTTGGATTTTCTACCAATAAAATGCTCTTGTAAAAATATAATACTCTTGTACAATGTCTTTCTTTGGAGGGACTATTTTCGTTCGGTTTGCCATTAGATTCTGCGACGTTGGAATTCTTAGTATCTTCTGCTGAAATGTGAAGGCTATTTGTTACACAGTCTATCTGACTCACATATTCAGTCTAAAATTCCTCGAGAGAAGAGGTAGCTCCTTATATATCTATATATCTTGTACTCCTGTGGCATCTCTAGAGAATAACAAGCTTTCAATTAATATTTGTTGAGTGGGAAGCAACCTAGATGCCAGACATTAGGAGACTATTAAACAAATGGTAGGGCAGCCATACAATGGAATTTCACACAGCACAGTTGTAAAAA